TATGAATTGAATAGCAGAATATATTTTTAAATCTAAATTCATCAAACGCATCATTGAGTTTTGGTTGTGCCGAATCCTATTTATTGCCCCACATTAATCAAGGTGCAAACAGTAGCAGGGTGATGCAGCAAACATATAAATGGGACAAAACAAACAAAAAACAAAATAAAAATAAATTCAATATTCAATTCATAAATAGTTATACTTATAAATTTTATAATAATTAATAATTTTAGGCTGACCTGGATGATTTTATTTTGATTTAGCTATGTAAGTGATGGCCTGTTGATATAATGCTACAAATGGGCAAAATAATGTGCATCAGTTTGTCTCTTATAAACTATTATATAACGTAAATATTTCATAAACTAAAATTTATAAATAAAACTACATCCAGATCATTTGTATAGCCAGCTATATAGTAATTTTAATTAATAAATTTAGAAAATAATTTTAGGTAAATTATCATCGATAAATATTTAAATTTTTAACATGTCATATTTTTATGTTAGACATAGTCCATAATGCGGTAAATCGTTAAATACAATCTTGCTGTAAAATGTACAAATACCTACATCTCAATTTGTATTGCTCGCTACACAAAGTGACACTACAGTTATAGATTGGTGACTTTAGTCTAGTTTATTGAAAGAAAATAGGTGGGGGTAGAAAACAAACATAATGTTAGATTTGTAAAATAAAATACATATAATATTGTGAAGCTAAATGAAAATCAATATTCTACATAAATTTATAATATTTATTGCCGTGATATAAATAATATAAAAATAAACTAGCTGGACAAAAAAGGTCAAAGATAGAGGTAGGTAATTGGAGAGATGTGTGGTGACTGGAGTGACTAAGAAAAGAGGTGGGCAAGGTAAAAATAAATTATCTATGCACCTTGACATCGGTGGCGCGGGCGAGTGCTGCGCCCTTTTTGGCCCGTAATAGCCGATAACAAATGGCGGCCACGACAACGATCACGATAAAAATTGCTAACACAATGAGCACGATTGCCCACCAGAAAAAGTGGCACCTAATAGACCGGTACGGATAGTCGACGCACTGGAATCGCTCCAAACTGTTGCGGAGCTCCTCTTTCCTGATGGCGTAATTGCGGTAATAGTCCTCGAAGTCGAACTCGGATCGCGAGCACCGGTACTGTACGGCCGTCTCCATACAGTCGATGACGTCCCACGTATAGCAGCACAAGTACTTGATCTGGCGGTCGGGGTATGTGGTCGACCCCCAGTCCACCACAGCCTCCTGGCGACATTTCTGGTACTCGGGGTCGTTTTCTAGCCGTATGTCACACACCCGGCCGATGCTAAAGGCCAGGGACCCAAAGGGTGAGAGGTTGTGCCCGTTGTATAGTTGGCCGGCCATCGGTGTGCCCGGGAATCGGTTGAATCCCGGGGCGCCCGCCGGTCCCGGGTTGTAGAATTGGGCGCTCGGGTCGAGACTTAGTCCTTGAGGTAGGACTGTGTGCCGGCACAGGTGCCAGAGAGCGATGGCAATTATGGTAGTGATTGATTTATACATTTTTTACGATGGTGATTACTGTTGCTGTATTGCAATATGGTGATTTATATTTAATTATTATGTTAATTTATAAAACACTATATTTAATTATTTTAAGTCCATAAATAGTTTGTTGTTTTATTAAGTTTTTAATTGTTATTTAAATGTTAGGCACGAATTATAATGTCGACTTAATTATTGTAATTAAAGTATCAATTTTACATATATTTAAATTGTATATAATTTTAAGCGCTATTTTTGCTGTTCGTAATAACAGTTTACTTTATAAGTGAGTTATAAATAGTTGTGTGAAAAAAATAATAACTCGTTTTTGACATACAATTGAGAGAGAGAGAGAGAGAGAGAGAGAGAGAGAGAGACTTGTATTTAATAAACAAAATAACAATTTTTTACTATACATAAAAAGTGAAATTAGTTCCCAATTTTTTATCACAATTTATTTCATTCAAAATATAAATACATTAATGCTTTTTGTTATTCAAAAAATCTATGTGAAATATCGTTAGATAATCTTCACTTCCCTTCAGTTTACTTTTCAATTCATCCCACTTTTACATTCAATTTGAAATATACTTGTATTTTAACCAAAAAATATAACTAATTATTGTTATCATAATGTTATGCATCGGAAACATAGGAAATACACCTTTTATTAACGTGTTTTGCATTCATGTGTTTTTTATTGTCAAAATAAATCACTTCATTATTTATCATCACAAGTGAATGTATGGTGTATTCTGTGTCTACAATTAATATACGGTATACGGAAAATCTGATTTTAAAATAAATATCTTATCATCATTAGATTACTTCTAAGATTTATGTGTTTGAATAGTTTATAAATTAACCATGTACATTAATTCAGATGAAACTAGATTGCTATTCTATTTATATTACAGATTTGATTAAAAATGTAATCATCAACTTTATACAAAACATAGCTGTATTGTAAACCATGGGTTGACTGTATTTACCAATATATCTAAATATATGTTAGTAAATACATGAGAATAACAAATAAAACAAAATTACCATTAAATAAAGTGACAATAAAAGCATTTGTGGTAAAAATACTCAATTCTCGGTATACCCCTATTAATACCTATTTAATATTTCCCTATTATTGTGTTATTATTAATATTATTATTATTACACAAACAAAAGTAATAATATTTTGGTATAAAAATGTATTTCCTATTATTATATTATTTCTATTGTGTATAACCGTTATAATGAAGTCACTAGATTGGCAGTAAATCAAAAAATGATCAACCAATAATAAATTAAATAATTTAATATCATAATTTACATGTAGGTAATAATATTCAGAATATACAGGTATATACAGAATATAAAAATGTTATTTTATATAAATGAAGTTAAATTTATTTTTATAATAATTTTGCAGTATTTTTCAATAGTTTGTTTAAATGACATTTATTTAAATGGTTTATTTTATATAATTTTAATAATATTTATATCTATTTGTAATACAGTATAAAATAAATGTTTAAGTTTTTGGATGATTAATTATTTTGTGCATTAATATCCGGCATTATGTTTGTTTAATATTTAGTTTAAAGGCATTATTAATATTTTTGTATAAATATTTAACTAGTGCAAAATTAACTAATAAATATGCTGAATTTTAATCGAGGTTTATTTATTTATAAATATTTAATTAAAATAAAATAACAATTTAGCGTAAAGTATATTTGCTTACTACTAGGTAAATTAAATCAAACATTAAATCAAACATTAAATCAAACATTAAATCAAACATTAAATCAAATATTTATTTGTATAAAAATTAAATGTTGGCAAATACTGATCAGGCATACTTGAATGTGCTTTCTTAAGTATATAATTTAATAAATCAATAATATAAAATATAATAATTTGCGTAGGCAATTTATAATAGTTATTAAAACACCCTATCAATAACATTGCAATCACGGGTGTATTGATTATAGTCAATACATTGTGTGACAAATATCCGGTATATTTTAGCTACCATTCGGGCCGATATGGACAGCGGTATGTTTGACAGGCATTGTTTAAATTGTTGATCGCATTCACAGGCACTTCTGTAATTAAATATTTAATCGCCATCATGTTACAAAGAAATGCTGTTTTACTAATAACTATAGCGTTATATTTAATTATAAATAAATAATTCAGTTAGTTTTAATAAAAATGTCTAGGTAATATACGAATATCCGATAATATACAATTAACTAATATGAATCCTGTTTCAATATTTAACTAACGCTAATATTTAATTTAAAAATACTTAAATAATTTACTTACATTTGGAACCTAGAGCCTCTAACATTGCAGTATCGTTGCAATTGGCCAGGGTACAGGCCTCGGGGCTGGCAATTATCATGATCGCGACAACAGGAATCTGTGTCAACGTCGGCACCCAAGTCGTCGTAGTGCCGGGCCGTGCGTCCGGGTCCGCACCACTTGGTCTTTGGGAAAGTGATTGTCCCCCCGGAGGCCAGCGAACGTTTCACTAGACTGTGCTCGATGTTTCCAACCTCCGCCCCTATCACTTGTCCCCCACCATCCATACACACAATTAACGCTATACTTAATAATACACTATGTAATAGATGTAAATTAGACATCATTGCTGCAGTTGGATGTTGGTTATTGTAAATTTGAATGGTCAATTTAGAACCCAGTTCAAAGTTGGGAACACTTTTAGCACTAAATACAATGTTTTATCAAACTTTTCACTTAATTTATATTTAAGTTTGTATTAGTTGGAAATTTTCTAATCACAAATTAAAATCATCAGGGACATTTAGCCAACGAATAGCAAGCGTATTGTATTTAGTCACTGGCTTGTACCGGCCTAAATGGCCTTGCACACACGGCATATCGTAGTACAATACGTGCATGTATAAATTAATATTATTATTATATGATATGAAAACTTTTATTTCACTCAAAACACACATATAAAGTAGTGGAAGTAAAAACGTGTGTATTTTACTTTCTATGTTAAATAAATGTGAATAAAATATAATCTACTAGTGCAAACATTAAATATTTAATCGCCCTTGGGGCAGTAATTACCCTTATATTTAAGTGTAAATATAAATTTTGCGATACGCCAGACTTCTGGTTAAAATACACACCAAATTTATTTTGTACGGTATTTAATAATCGTATGACTGCTTATAATTTTGATGAGATTTAAATTGTACTTATGTTCAAATTCATTACATTAATTAAGCAACAAATTACCCTAAAATATCACTTTAAATAAATGATTGTATTGTTATTTAAACTTTGTAATTTCAATTTCACATTTTACTACAATTAATTATATATAATTAATAAAATAATTTACAATTTATTTTTCTGAAACAATTAAAATTACAAACCTAATTAAAAAGTAAATCAAAACAAATATTTGCAGTACTTTTCGTTTCAAAACAAGTACTTTTTAGTATTTTTCTTTTTTATAATTTTAAAATTTCGTATAACATGTTTTGAGATGGAAATTAAATATAAATGTGCAAAAATACTAAAACAGTTATAATAAATATCATTTTAAAAATAATTAGTAAAAATAGAGATATTTCAAATGTCCCTTCTGATTTAGTAATCTATATTTTGGTGAATATTTTTGGTGAAGGATCAAAATCAGATAATCTGTTCAAAAGTTATCAACATTTACATTGTGGAAGTTAGATATTTAAATACTGTATATCTAACAGAAAACATTTAATTAAATTATTAAAACTATAGCATTAATGTTAGAAAATTTTGGAAAATTTTTTATTTTGGATTACATTGGAAAATTTCAAAATATAAGTGGTTTGAAAACTAACTTTGTTGAAGGAAAATGTTTCTTAATTGTTATATTCATGTTCACCGTTATATTCTACATCCAATTCATATACGTATAATTTAGAAGAAAAAACCAAACAAACTCAATGTAGTTTAAAACTATTGGAGATTTTGGATGTTTATTTCGATTTACTAATTAATAATTTGTAATTTTTATGGTGGATATCACAGCAAACTAATTAATTTTCTGACTTATATTTTTACATTTATGTTTCACAAAATTATTATGATATTTTCAACAATATCAAATATAATTTTGTAGTAATATTAAATGCATTTAATTTTAATTAATATATTTTTAAAATTAAATTTTATTTCATATATCTATGTTTTTTAAATTTTACACCAATTTGTTTTCACATCAAATTCTAATTCAAATATTTAAATTTGGTTATGCTATAAAGTCAAGTAATTGTATTAAGATTATATAAAATAAATATCAATTTAAATGTGCTTTATATGTACATCACTGAATTAGACAATAATATTTCTGTAACTATTATTCTTAATATAATTATAATTAAATTATAAATATTTTTACTTATAATTTCTAATATAATATAATGAATAGATTAAAGACACCGTAAGTTAAATGTCAAACAAGTATTGATTACAAAAATTATATGATTTATAATTATTTCAATTCAATAACAAATGTATAGTAAGTGTGTATAAAATACATTGTATGAGAGGGTGGGGGGACTGGTTCTCAGACCCCATCAAAACATCTTATGATATAATGTTTGGGCAAAATGTATACAAAATTGTATTCTAGTAATCAAATGAAAGCAAACATATTATTTTTTATTTTTAAACATATTATTTATAAAATAATAAATATATTTTATAAAAATTATATCCTTCACAAAATAAAATACCATCCCCTCTAAAACATGGCGGGGTGGGGTTGATGTGGGGGTGCGCTACTTAAACAATATCAGTAATATAAAAGTGCGAGGTTAGTCTGTTTTGAATAAATACACGTGTGGTATACATTGATCGACGGGACAATAATGTCACACAAACACACACATGGATTATCATGTGCTGTATATAACAGGCGGACTCCTGTATGTAGTCTACGAGAAAAATGTGCGAACAAACCCACGGATGGGTTGCCGACACACCGGACAGTCGGTGAGTCGTTGGGCGCACTCAGAGCAGGCCATCTGATGACCGCACGGCAGGAAAACCACCTCAATCTCTGCGCCCAAACATATCTTGCAGGCCAGTCGACTGGTGGGCGACGGGGGCAGGAGTAACATGGGTTTGGATCCTAATGATTGATCGCTAGTTTGATCGGACAACGATATGGGTGATGATGATGAGGCTACGGTCGTTGTTGTTGTATTCGTATCCATCGATCCACTGGTCAATAAGATGGGTGTGGAAGCGACCGGTGAGGTGTTGGCCACTAATTTGTTGGTTGTGGTGTTCACGTTGGAAGACATGGTTAGGGCAACAGTGGGTGCAATGCTGGCCCCCATTGGCCGCCGTGCGCTGGCTTTTGGTTGACATTTATTGCTATTCAAATTGAAATATAATATTTAAAATAATGCTCAAAATTTTGTATAAATTGTAAGTTAATTGTTATCGTGTGTTAACTGTAGTAAATATTTATATACAGTAAAACATCGATTAGCTAAACATACTTTATATCCATAGGCTTGTTGTCATCAATAGCCACACCATTTGATGGCCGGGTGTGGGGCTCAATGACGGAGCTGGCGATCTGTGCGACGGCGGCAGTGTGTGTGTCCGGACGACTGTCCGCCAGTGCGCTCACAGCATCAAAGAGCTGCGCAAACGAGTCAAAGGGTTTCCGGCAGGTGTGGTACCTGCGGTTCAACGTAGCTTTAATCACGTCCCGAGAGTACAGATTATACCCAATCAGCTCTCGAACCACATCCGCGCCCATCCACTCGTCCACCAGTCGACACACAGACTCGTCATCAGTGGTCATAACCGTCGGCGGAGGCGTTGTGGCCATCGGCTCCGGCGATAGGGAGGTAGTGGTGTTGTTGTCCGGTCCGCCACCCCCTCGACTCTCCCGTATAAATGAGTGGCTTTTGTTGAGTTTGAGAAAACTGCAATCGGGAAACATCTTAGCATGCTCAACCCACGGGTCATCGCCCGCCGCCCACTCGGCCAGTCCTCCCCCGCAGTGGAAACACTTGACCGCATCCCTGTATCCTATCGTATAAATAAGAGACCAGTTTGTAGTTAATTGTAAAAACTGTTTTTAATTAAGTTATTAAAGTTATTGAATAAAAACTTATTTTGTGAACAAATATTTCTGGTGAATTCTCTCTCTCTCTCTCTCTCTCTCTCTGTTTTAATTACGAATTAATTTGTCAAAACAAAAGGGTTCAGTGTACTAGGTAAAATGCACATTGCTGATTTTATTGTTTGCCGACTAATACTTTTACTCCCATTACAACTATAATCAGTAAATAATTTATTATTGATTATTATTATAAATTCAATGATATTGTGATAATTAATTACTAGTCATCACAGGATATATGATATGAGTTATTTAATAACAAACATCTATTGAGAGAGAGAG